AAAATCGATAACAGTAGGCTTCGGCCGCCACCCTGGCAAAATTCAAAATCTCCTACCAACTGAAAAAGTTTAGTGTGTCCCGCGCGCTCATATGACCTTATGCAGTTGCGAGCGCCGTAAAACACTTTACAAAACAAACAACAAACAAACATCTTGTACTTGTACGATATGAGGCCTACTTATAACTAATTTTTATTAGGTGGAAAGGCTTTGAAGCTTCGGGAAAAGATCCGTTTTGAAATTCCAAAATGATTATGATAATGAAGTCTTCGGTACCGATATCGTGTACAATTCACGGACTTTATTTCGAATTAAAAGGTATATAATATATTATATCTAACATAACTGAACTTCACTTTGCCGCCTGTATGTATTCATTGTTTCTTATTTTCTTTTGTTGCTTTGGGGAGGGGGGGGGGGGGTTGTTGCTGTTCTATTGTTGTTTGTTTGGGTTTATTCCCGTTTGTTGATTTTTTTTGTTTTGTTACGTTTTATTTTGTTGTGTTTTGCTTTTCCATTTATTTGGACGGTTGGTTGGTTAGTTGGTGGGTTGGTTGGTTGGTTGGTCGGCTGGTTGGTTTGTTGATTGGCTGGTTGGTTGGCTGGTTGGTTGGTTGGTTGGTTGATTGGGGTGTTTTTTGTGGGGGGGTGGGGGGGCAGTGGTTTTCTTTTTTGATAGAAAGGGGCAAAGGTATAGTCAATAAACGTTCAGCGCCATCAAAGGACAACACGATGCAAAAGAAAATAAATTTTTGGTACCCCCTCTCCACGTCTCCGGTATTGCTAATGCTCTCTGAGAGTTCACTTCTTTTATATTTATGTTGGTTTTTTTTGTGAACAGGAGGGGCGCGGGGGCGTTCAAATACTTTTTGTTGTTGTTGAAGCGATTATTATAATGAGTATATGTAATTGCCTTTCAAAACTGAGAATCCTCGATGTTATTTTAATACTCCGATCGTCCTCCTGACAAAATAACCTCATGTTGCCTTTACCTTCCTTCCCCATCCTCCTTTTCTAAAACTTCTTTATCTACTACCATACCTGCTCTTCTTTATTTTTCGTTTGACTATTTTGTGAGACTTTGATCTACTTTTTGTTTAGGTTTGTATTCGTTAAGCTGTTTTTATTATTTTTGGATTTTTCGGGGAGGGGGGGGGGTATTATTGCAAGTAGTCTATATGAACTTAACGTAAAGGAAAAGAGTTGAGAGGGAAAATGCGTGGCGGGTATAAGTGCCCCGACTGATAGCCAGTTGGAGATTGCGCATTCCTCTTTGGATCCTGCTTTTCAGGGTTGTTTGTTGTGGGAAAACACTTGACCTGGTGGGCAGCCTAAGAGCGTCACAGATAATACGGATTTTATATGTCTTTGTTTTTGTTTTTTTCTCAGTTGTTTTGTGTGTGTGTGTGTGTGTGTGTGTGTGTGTGTGTGT